GTGCCCGTACGGCGTCACCATCGCGTTCACGATCGCGTTCACCAGGGACGACTTCCCCGCGTTGGTGCGCCCGATAAAGGCGACCTCGGGAAGGAAGCCCTTGCCCTCTGCGGGGAGATGAGGAAATCGCCCTGGGTGGGTGGCCGCGGCGCGCAGCTCGACGTGCCCGCCAAAGGCAAAGGTCTGACGACTTTTCTGGGAGGTGGTATAGACAGGGGCGGTGCCGTCGCCTTTCGTGATCCAGTGCTCCCACGACACGCCTCGCTTTAGCTTTCGTTCGATCCGACGGCCGTGGAGGCCACGGTAGATCTCCTCCAGGATGGCGCGATCTAGCGGGCGCTGGCGAAGGTCCGCGCGGAAGCTCGTCCGGCTCGGGTTTAAGGTCTCCCGCACGGCCCCTTCCACACCAAGCTCATCGATCAGCTTTTCCTGCTTCCTCAGATGCGGCTTCGAGTCCTTCCAGACCTTCTCGACCTCCCTCATTGTAGCCTCGCCAAACTTTGAAAGCTGTCGCTGTCGTTGGAGACTCTCCGCGCCGTCGCGGCTCAGAAAAGACGCCGTGTGGGTATGTATGTGTTTATTGCGCGTGTACTCGGTATTCATGCCACCTTTTCGTTCTGCATTCTCTAGATGGCCCTCCTGGCTCTCTAAACAAGGGATCACAATCCGGTTGGGGTTACACCCACCGCTAAACCAACGAAAACACGGAAAAGGGTCTAACGGTGTGCTTCCAGTGCGTCGGGATGTCCTAAGCAGGCGCAAACCTCCTCTACAGTGTACCATTGCTATATACATATATATATATATATATATATGTATGTATATGTCTACTATCTTGTTTACCCTTTTAGGGTGTTCACTTTCCTCCCTTATTGCTGATTAAACCTTTTGGATGGGCTTTCATATATTCAGGTTATAAAAAACGTCAAAAGAAAGGTTCAGATCAGATATGAAAAAAAAATCACACATTGTCAGAATTAAAAAGCCTATTTGCTGGATAAGCTTTAAGATAACATATATGCATAATAGTGAAGAATAATATAAAGTAGAGTGAAGAATGTACAGAAAAGGCAGAGAAGGAACTTCTCGAAAATTCCACTCCGTATGCTCGACATTACATTACAAAATGCCACCAGGCATCTTTAAAATGAATAATAGCAGTTAATGATAATACAGAAATTAAGAAGATAAAAAATGAATATTACCTTGGATGTTTAGATGTCTTAGCTCAATTTATACTATTTAATCGAACATATTTGAAATATGTGCTCTATTGCGTATTGTTTAAGATGAACCCGATGATACCTGAATGAGTATGCATATAAAGAGGAGTGAAAGGGAGTGAATATAGATGAAATCAAGATATTGATTCACTATTCTGTGTTGTCTTTATTTTTTAGTCTCACAATACCGTTAATGATCATTACGTAAGAATGGACACTGATTTACAACCTTGTACCCCTCATCTGGGTTCACTAAACAATCCACATTATACATCATTCGCCTGAAGCATTGCTCATGTGCTTTTATTCCCAAATAGTTCTCCCCTCCTCGCTCGACGTAATTGTTGTTGCTCACATGAGCATAGGTTAATGCTTTAAGACAAGTCACCTCAACTGGGGTTGCGTTCACATCCACGATACCACCATGTTGAAGTATGTCTTTTGCAGAAAACCACAGACTGCGTCCGTCGTGTACGGTAGGCAAGGAGCGTTTTTCCAGAAGTTCGGCAAGCGCATCATCCGAAAGCGCCTGCACGGAATCCTTCGCCGCTATCTGGGCAGAGAGATGAGGGCTGCACTCGGTCGCACCAGGGCCACTATGGCGGGACGCGCAGAGTACCGCAGCGAGGTTGGGATATTGCAGTAGTAAATTTTCTTTAAGCAGCTCTACATACGGAAGATGGGCCCCTGTCAGTCCGTTCAGGGGACTCCCTACCGTATACTCTAGCTCTGCTGCGATAACGTGCTGCGGCAGCCTAAACGACTCCGGGAAATAAACTTGAGATAGGTGGTAGAAGTAGGTCTTTGGCGACATAGCTCCTGAGAAACCCTGATAAAATAAGTTCTCATCTTGAGCTTGGTCCAAATGTTTCAAAGAAGGGGGTATCGTATTATCGTATTCATTAAAAGAGACCCCAGAGGCATCGCCCCGCAGCTTTAGTTTGAATTGATGTAGCTGAGTCATGCTGAAATACAAAGGAACTGCATGTCGATGCAATTTCATGTCGTTCATAATATTAAAAAAATAGGAAGAATGACCAAATAGTGAAGATGAATAACAGTTATGCGTCATATCCCCAGTAGCACCATGGATCGATCCCCTGGCAGGACTGATCCCTTGAACATCGAAATTTGAAACCCCCATTTGCATACCACCCTGCATATGACCAAGCGAAGAATCACAATACGCACTGTCAAGCTTGTTATCCGGATTATTTTTCAAAAGTAGGTTAAAAAAAGTGCCACTTTTTCCAGAAATATAACAGTGCTGTAGAATCTCCTCTGCGTTGTCGATCAAAGAGATGTGGACCAGTTTGGTATAAATTTTTTGGTACAGCAAGTGCTGGTTCTGTGAAAACTGTAACGCCGCCCCCAGGCGCCGCCATTGTACCATGGTGCCCCACCAACATGAGTTGTACCGGTGGATCTGCTGCAACTGCTGTAACTGCTTCTGAATGAAAAAAGAAAACGGCCTCCGTGAGTTAATGGACATGGACACCTCCATCCCAGGGGAAGTCTTGAACTCAGACAGAAATAACTCCTGCCTGTTTTGGGTGTCCTCCATTATCTGATCCATATTTAACAAGTACATATGACGGTAAATGTAAACGCTACAGACGGGGATCTTGTAATTCAAGTCCAAGGATTTTACCTTGATTGATTGCTCCACGACGTCACCAGCCCGTTTTTTTCGAGCATTGGGGCAATTGATTGGCTTCGTGTCGGGATCCACACAGGGGACTTCTAGAGAGGGGGATGAGGCAGAGGGGGTAGTTTTTTTGTATTTTCGCTTATTCACGCACTTCGCATACGGTGAGTATTTGGGATGGTGACTCAACGAGTTGATCTTCAACAAACTGGACTTTCCAAAATGGGAAGTACTTTGATTAACGAAAAAGTCATTCTCGTCGAGCCAGATATTGCTCGAGCTGAGAGGATGTCCTTTTAGGAAAAAGTCTTTCGAAAATTTTTGGAGATATGGGATAGCTTGAGTGAACACTACATAACGCTTGCAACACAGACGAAACATTGAAATCTCGTGTGAAGTAAAATTCAATGAAAGATACAAAAAAGCAATAGATATGTAAAATGTTTCACCGAAGCACCTCCCTTTCTGGTAAGATGGGATTCGAGAGTCAAGAAAAAAAAATCCCTATGAATTGTCTATATAACTAAGGATTAGTGAACCCAAAAGACAAAAGTACTGTAGACAAAAAAAAACGGAATAATGATGTGCTAATAAATATTAATATTTAGTAATACGAAATAGCAAAGATGGTGAAAGAACATAGTTTGGGTACTTCTTCACCTCATAACCTCAAGCCTATTCTTCACAGCATTGTCTTCTAGGTTAGTATTTATCGTGATTATTTAAATATCTATAGAATGTGAAACATCACACGGAATCCCCTTATATGGAGAAAATCTTCTTTTGAACAGCTCTATTAACAGCGTCGTCTAAAGCTCAAATAGTATGTACTAGGAACAGATAGCTTTTTAAAACGCTTTTTATTATTTTTTTTAGTATTATTTCAACTTCACAGTAACAAATAAAAGGGG